GACCTAACAAATGATCATTACTAAATAAGGCGCAATCTGCATTAACCAAATATGGTAAAATCCTGGAATGAATTGCACTATGTATATATTTATGCTATCAATTTTGTTTTTTAATGCATATTTTATATATAATTCTAATAAATTTTTGAACTACATGTTCAGCCTGGCCATTTGCTTCAGGATGATGACTGGCAGTAAAATGCTAATTTATATTCATACGTAATAAAAGTTCCTCTATTATTTTGTTTTTAAACTCAGTTTCTCTATCTGACATTAAAATTGTAAAGCAACTATGCCACAAAACTATATCTTCCCAGATGAATTGTGCAATGTTTTTAGCATTCTTACTAACCAAAGCCCATCCCTCAACATATCCAGATAAGTCTTCTATTGTTAATACTATGTGTTCATGTTTTGCCACAGTACAAGGTAAAGGCTTAATACAGTTAATAAAGACTTTATTGAAAATCCAGCTAGTGCCAATTACATGAATAGGTTGTGGTAGTAGTTTAGTAGCACTTTGTTGGCATGCACTTCCAAACACCCATACATATTTCATTAATATAGCTTTTACTGTTCTGGTTATTCCTCTATGTCTATCTTCATATATTAAACCTTTGTGACTGGCCTTTATAATGCTATACTTTTCATTATCATTTACTATTATATGCTTTGGAGGTGCACCTTTTCTTGACTATAAATATAAATTATTATCAATTAAGCAATATCGCTTTAATTTTTTTTTAAGATACAGCAAATCATGTGCAACCACATGTGATTTCCAAGTTATGTTGTGTAAGAATTGTTTAACTAAAATTAAATTGTTTATTTTCTTTTTTAAATCAACTTTAAATAATAGTCCTTCAACAAAGTCATCGTCAGTTTTAGTAATTTGGCTTGGTGGGTTTGGTTAATACAACAAATCATCTGCATTATCATGTTTCTTACTCAACTTATAATAAACACGAAACTCAAATGATTGAAGCAATAAAACTCATCTTATAAGCCTTTCTTTGAGTTTAGCTTTGTTGAACAACTATTCTAGCACTTGGTGGTCAACCTAAATGTCAAAAACTGTACCACTAACATATCTTTTGTTTATATAACATCTAAATATAATTACTAAACACTTCTTTTCCATTATTGTATAATGTTTTTCATAATCATTCAATTTTCTGAAATCGAACAATACTGGCCTCAATCTACCTTCATTATCTTCTTGCTCGAGTACTACACCAACAAAATGGTCACAAGCATCTGTATATATTTGATAGAGCTTTCAATTATCTTTTGCAGCTTGCCAATTGGGTTCTTTCAATATTACTTCTTCGAATAACTTTTGCTTCAACGTTTCAAATGCTAATCTTTCTTCTTTTTCCTATTTGAATTTTGCATTTTTTCTGATTAAGTCTATTAGTAGTTTAGCCACTTTGCTAAAGTTATTAATAAATCTTCTATAGTAATTCATAGTTCTGTAGAATGACCTAACTTCATCCAAACTACTAGGCTCTATTCATTTTTCGATCTTTTCTACTCTTTTTGGATCTACTATTATCACCTTTTTATTTACTACGTAATCATATATATTCAATTCATTATATAATATAAAACACTTCTTTGCCGCAAAAGTCAAACCAGCATTCTTAAAAACTTTAGCTATTTTAATAAAAGTGTTTAAATGCTCTTCTATGCTTCTGTCGGTCCATATACCTATGTTGCTGCTGCAACGTGTTTCTATTTGTCACTATCTAACAATTGATTCATTAATCTTTAAAAGGTTTTACTTACGTTTTTTAGACCTATACACATTATAGTATATCTCAATACATCTAAAGACGTAGCTACAGCTACTTTGTCATGGTCTTTTTCATGGATACCAATTTGCTAGTATCCTTTAAATACATCAACGAACGAATACTATTCGTGCCTTGTAGCTTGTTCAAGTATATCTCGAATAATTAGTAGTTGTAACTATCTTTTATGACATACTTATTGAAAGGTTTCATGTTGCCAATGGCTTAAAGCTTATCAGTTTCTTCCTCTTTTTTTTGTATCGGAAAGCAATAGTAAGCAAATTTACCAAATCCTTTTTCTAGTAACCTGTATCGAATCATACCTTTCAGGTAATCTTTGAACATCAATCTTGTTTCTGGATTATTTATTTTTATGGGTTGTAATCTCATGGATAGTATTATAGCATATCCAGTTCTGACCTCATATTCAACTAAATTAGTTTTCCCAATATCTTTTAATTCAAAAGTGAAAACTTTGGGTATTTTTGACATCAATCGATTGATTAGTATGCTTCTTATCGGTTTATTTTGAATATTTGGTCCCAAGTTAATAAAAGTACTGTTTTTTTTTTTTTTTTTTTTCCAATTTGGCAGTCTTGCTACTACTTTACTAGGCTATCATAATTTTTATATTATAAATAAAATTTACAACTTTTACAAAAAGCTAATCCTTTTGATATCTAAGTTACAAGTGTTAGCTTATTTGGTTGTTTCTAGAACATCTATGTATGACTTGTTATAGTAGAAGTTTACCTCAGTACCAACTTGCTTTGAAATAAGATCATTGATACTTTATTGAATGTTTCTATGGCCTGTCAAGACTACTAATTAGCTTTCCACCATGATACACATTGGCCTTTCTTAATTCAATCTAAAACTGCTTTCTTGGCTAACTCTAGCATATTTTTCTAATGTGCTTCGCTTTCTTTTTTAGATTTTCCTGTCTTCTCCTTTCTATCTTCACTTTTTTCTTCACCTTTTTCTATTTATTTTATCCTTGAACCTTGCATTAGATCTTCTTTTTGCCCTTCTTGTTATTCCAACTTTCCTTTCCTATTTTTGAACTAGTTTATATCTTGCGATCTATATCTTTTTGTAGACTTGTTTTATCTAGTTCTTTCAGAGTTTTTCTATAAAGCTAAAAGTCTGCTTGTTTGAGTCAAAATTTTGTCACAAATCATCAAAGCCTTCTTTTGTAATTAGACCTCTGATCCACCTAGCTTTTCTTTGTAGCTCTTTGAGCGTGCTACCTTTTTCTAATACTACAAGTATTGACTCTTTCTTTCTTCTGTGTCTTCTGGTACCATTTTATCAAGAACTCTTTCTACTTCTTGTTCTTCTATATTTCTTAGAAGGTTCATTGAGAATTCACAGCTAACCAAATATTCTATATTTCATCTTTCTTTTTGCATACTATATATGTTGGGGCTTTGTATAGGTCGGGTCTTTGATTGAGCTTTGCTAGTACTGGTAATGCATTATTTACATATTTTATTTCGAAGAGCTGCTGTGTATTTGACTTGAAAGTATGGTCTTGCTGTTTTTTTCCACTTTCCAAGATTTTGTAAAATATAGACCATTGTTGTGCACCTTTTCTTTCTTGATGTGAGGTACTACCGTGCATATGCACTCATTCCACTCTATTAATCACTTTTCCTAGCATTTTAATAAAAGAGCATGTTGGTTTCACTATTAATTCACCTTCTCAACTATATTATAGCTTGAACTCTCTTGTACTCAGTGTGTTAGAAATTAAAAGTTCTATACTGTCTGCACCTTCTTTGGCTTTAATATCTGCTAGATCGTTATAAAAGTCCTCTGAGTGACCCTTAACCTTTACTAGTTCGAGCACTAGCTGCTTGATTTAATCACTTCTGCTATCGTTGCAACAAGACCACTATTTTTGGTTTTCATCTAATATCTAACTTTGTGCATTTCAAGCCCTTTCTGGATTGCTAATATAGCTGCCTTACTATCAGTTTTTATCTCTACTTTCTTTTCTTTTGGTGTTACTAATATTGCAACAAGTATTGCAACGAGTTCTGCTCTAGTTGATAAAAACCAATTTTTTGTTGCAAGAGCAATCTGACATAGAATTTGTCTTTCTTCTAAGACTTGCACTATTTTGCAACCCATTCTCATCACTCCTGAAACTTCGCATGTCCTGAGTGAGCCATCAGTATAGAACACTAAACTATCTAAACTAGTGTTTTAATCTAAATATTCTATAGTGCATGTAATCTAGAATCGGTGTCACGTGATCAGAGTGGCCAATTAGAGATTAACCTAAATTCTGAATATTTCCAGATAGAAAGTCGGTGAACACAAAAGACGAGCACGTATTTCCTAAAATTTCCGAAATTAATCTTAATTAAGCTTAAATTGGAAAAGGTGTAAGTTAAAATTTCTGATCCAAACTTAATCTTAATTGAGCTTAAATCGGGAAAAGTGAAAAGTGAAAGTCGGTAATTAGTTAATTGATTGATGATTGATACAATATAATATAAGATCGATTGTGTAATAATTGTAATAATATAACAATATAACAATACAATAAGTTATTTTAAATTGGAAATATTCCAAATTTTTTTCACTTTTTTTTCACATGATACATATGATCGATATGATTATGCAAAAATGATATCATAGCTAAGGTGGTTAGAGGTTAGAATATTTATTTTTTTACAGATTTAAATGTATCAATTATACAAAGATGATATCATAGCCAAGATCAGAATTGAATAAATGTATCGGTAATGAATAGCCCAAGTTTAAAATTAAAATTTGAATCTGTTTCAAAAACTGATGAAGTTAAGGGAGGGTTGAGCTACAAAGCAATATAGTTAAGGTGTGACGACAGAGTGAACTGACAAGTGACGAATCAACCTATATAAAATGAACACTACATTCCTTTAATTTTTACCATTACGTTACTGAACTGAACTAGCTGTTTTTTAGCAACAAATAAAGATAAAAAAAAAATAAAAAAAAAGCAAAAAATTAAAAAAAAAACAAAAAAAAAACAAAAAAATTAAAAAAAAGATTAAAAATTAAAAAGGCTATTTGAACTATTTGATAATTAATAACAAATTTATTCCTAATTACAAAATTTTGATTGGGATAATTACAATTTGACTTTAATTATTATATTTTACCACCATTACTCGGCCAAACAAGAGAAAGCAGCAACTTAAAGCTGCTAGAGCCATGAAGCGTACAAAGAAACTACAAGAACAATCAGATTATGAAGATCTGGTTTGGTCAGATCAGGACATTGATGAAAGAGCATCTGATTATTTTTCTATTTTACTAATGGCTGGTAAAAACAAAGATACCTGGAAACCCTTGAGTAGGCTTTTAGCATACGTTGGAGGTTCTAAAAGAACTCAGAGATACAAAAGAACAGAACTAAAGAAGGCTGTACAAAATATTCAATCCATCATAGCCTACTTTGCCCCTGCTTTAACGTATTCTAATATTGGTTTGGCTTCTACATACAAATCATCAACAGAATTACATGCTTCAATGGAAGTGGAATCAATGGAAGTGGAATCAACGGGAATGGAATCAACAGAAATGGAATTAATAGAGGTGAGATCAACAGAAATGGAATTAATAGAGGTGGGATTAACAGCAGATGTATTAGAAAAAATAGATATTGATGAGAAAACAAAAATAAGATTGGCAATTAAGGAGTTAGATAGGATGTTAAAAAAGGATAATAATCAAATGGATAAAGGTGTAAGGGTTCGTTTGCAAGCGTCATTGCACTTAAAATACCAGAGTCAGACTAGAATAAGTGCAAGCACAACGATTGCTAGTTCATTATGATGGGGCGATTATAAAGCACGATATATTGGTGCATGAGCTCAAAATTGGATAAAGTGACAAAGCCTTCCAAAAGATAACCGTGGTAAATTTGCGAAGGTATCAAGCCTTCTTGATGATAAGAAAATATCCATGAAGGTATACATTTTTTTATAGCGATTTTGGCTATAATTTTTAATTTTTTGTTGTAACTTACAATTATCACACTTTGAACAGATAATGTTGTATCTAAGAAGTCACAAGTTTAGTATAAATCCTAAAGTTTTAAAGAACTACATTGAGAATGAAGTATTTCTGTCTTTAGGTATTGAAACAAAGACAACCATATATGAGAAAACAGCTTGGATATGGCTTAGAAAACTTGGATGAGAATGTAAAGAATGGAGAAAGGATATCTATGTAGATGAACACGAGCGAGAAGATGTAGTGCAATATAGACAAACAATTTTTTTGCTGATGATGAAAGAATTGAAACCTATTCTTCTTGAATATTGTGACGAAAATTTTACAAAGCTACTAGAGAAGGATATTCCTTCTAGAGAAAAGCGACATTGTGTAATAATACATGATAAAACGACATTGTCTGCAGATGATGATGAGAAAATGGGATAGGGGCCCGAAGGTATATATATTAGAATCGTTAAAGATTAGATTTATTTTTTATTTGCTAGCTAACTAACCTTACATCACTTTTATTAAAACGAACACAAACTGCGTCCAAAAGGACAAGGCAGGGGCATTCATATTAGTGAATTTTTATGTAAACCACTGGGTCAAGTTTATTTAACTGAAGAACAACATGTAGCCCATCCCGAAATTTCAAAATGTTACGTTACAGAGTTGTTGGAAATTGGTACAAACTACGAAGGTTATTGGAACATTAAATTGCTAGCTAAGCAACTTAAACGAACGATCGATATTTTGAAAATTGCACTTCCGGATACGATATTTGTCTTTGGATTCGATAACAGTACCAACCATGGAGCCTTTGCTGAGGATGCACTAATAGCAAGAAATATGAATGTCAGCTATAGTGGTAAACAACCGAAACTGCGCCCTGGTCGATTTTCTGATAGTATACCTCAAGAAATAGTCTTTCTGTTAAATCACTGAGACGAAAAAAAAAGGGAATTAAAGAAGTAATGATAGAAAGGAGAATATAGAATGAGCGATTAAGAGGCAAATGTGTTAAGTGCTCAAAAGATGAGAAAATATGTTGCAACATGAAAAAATTGGCGATGCAGCCAGACTTCATGGAACAGAAAAGTATTCTTGAGGAATTGTGCTTGAGAAATTGTGCTTGAACGTGGTCATAAAATTTTTTTCTATCCTAAATTTTATCTGGAATTAAACTATATTGAATATTATTGGGGGGCAGTAAAAAGATATACAAGAAGCCACTGTGATTTTACTTTTCGAGGATTAAAAAAAACTGTGCCAGAGGCTTTTGATTCTGTTGATATTATAATAATTAGAAAGTTCGCAAGGAAAGCGTGAAGATATATGGATGTATATAGAAAAGGTTTAACACCTTCTGCTGCTGAATTTGCAATAAAAAAATATAAATCGCACCGAAAAATTTCCGAGAATATTGAATTGTAATACTATGTAACAATAATAAATAAACTGCAATTATAATGCATATTCTAAAATCTTGTGTTTAATTATTTATTTCAATTATTTAATTATTAATTAGTTTAAAATTTAAAATTTAAAATTTAACATGTGAACTATTAAATGTCTGATGCATATGTATTTATTAATTGAACAATAGCAAGCTTAAGATATATAGAATGATCCAAAACACAGGAACAAATATTTCACTAACAATAATTTTACAGATACCACATTTCACTAGCAACTATTCATTAACATGTTCATTTTACCTACAGTTTATTTTACCGAAATTCATTTCACCAACAAGTTTTTTTTTATAATTAACGCTAACTCTAATTTTAACCTAACCTTAATAATATTAACCAGAATAAATATAATTGCCAGTAAATGATTGTTAGTGAAATGTAGTATCTACAAAGTGATTGTCGGTGAGTTGATCATATCTTATTCTCAAAGTATTGACATAGTGAAAGTCTGCACAAATATATCCTTAAATATAAATCTCATGAAGTATCTATAAGCTGTTTTAAGAATTTAGTCCGCTCAATAAGGTCTTGAAATTTTTTTTAAAACTTACATTATCGCATATTAAGCTATTGTTACAGAGTAGTAGCCTTCTTAATTTACTCTATAACGACGACACGGCACAGGGAATCCTTTCGTAGGTATAT